TTCTTGTAGGCCCCTTCTAAGAACTGGAAGGAGATGTGCTCCATCCCTCTGATAATTTCTGTCTCTCCTCTGGACCCTCTCCAAGAGTTCTGTGTCTTTCCTGTACTGAGGACTCTAGAACTGGATGCAATACTGCCGGTGGGGCCTTACCAGAGTAGAGAAGAGGGGCAGAATCACCTCTTTTGATTTGCAGCTCAAGATATGCTTGTTCTTCTGGGCTACAAGCACACATTACTGGCTGATGTCAAATCTTTCATCCATCAGTACCCCCAAGTCCTCCTCTTCTGGAGTACTCTCAATCCCTTCATCCCCCAGCCTGTATTGATACTGGGAGTTGCACTGACCCAGGTGCAGGACCCTGCACTTGGCCCTGTAGAACCTCATGAGGTTTTCATAGGCCCACCTCTCTAGCATGTCCAAGTCACACTGAATGGCATCCTGTCCCTCAGGTGTGTCAGCTGCACCACTCAGCTATGGCATCTGCAAACTTGCTGACAGCACACTTAATCCCACTATGTCTTTGATGAAGATACTAAACAGTACTGGTCCCAGTATGGATCACCCTTGATGGATACCACTTCTCACTGGTGTCCATCCAGACACTGAACCATTGACCAATACCCTCTGGATGCGACCATCCAGCCAATTCCTCATCAACCAAACAGTCCATATATCAAATCCATATCTCTCCAGTTTAGAGAGAAGGATGTTGTGGGGAACTATGACAAAGGATTTACAGAACTCCAGACTGACAAGATGTGTAGCCCTTTCTTTGTCCACTGATGTAGAAACTCCACCATAGAAGGCCACTAGGTTGGTCAGGCAGGACATATCCTTGCTGAAGTTATGCTGTCTGTCTCAAATCACCTCAGTGTCCTCCATGTGCCTTAGCATAGCTCCTAGAAGTATCTGTTCCATGATCTTCTGAGGCACAGAGGTGAGGCTGACAGGTTGGTAGTTCCCAGGGCCCTCCTTTCTATGCTTTTTAAAACAGTGGTGATATTCCCCTTTTTCCAGTCACCAGGGACCTTGCCTGGCCAAATTCTCAAATAACATGGAGAGTGGCTTGGCAACTACTTTAGCCAGTTCCCTTAGGACTCTGGGATGGATCCTGTCAAGTTCCATAGACTTACGTAAGTTCAGATTCTTCAAGTGGCCACGAACCTGATCTTCATTTACAGTGGTAGGACACAGTGGGAGTGTCTTGAGGACACAGAGGGAGGAAAAATGCCAATAAAAAATCAAACAAACTAGGTAAGCACATTTTGATGTTGGCCAGCATGCTTTTATGTGGTTTCCATCTCAAAGTTAGGGAATATGTGCTAAATGCTTTTTCCTATTATATGTTTTATGAGGGGTTTTGGTGGGGAAGTGAATTGTCTTTGATTACAGTTTGAAAGCAGCTGAAATCTCACAAGAAAAGCTGTTCTTTCATGGTGTTCCAGGAAAAGATAGAGGCTTTGTCATAAAGATGGATTTTCTCATGAGAGTTCTTCTGCCTGCATGAAGGGAAGAAAAAGACACACAGGATCAGAAAGTCTTTCAATATCTCCTAATCTTACCAGGCTGCCAGATTCTAACTGAGATAGAAGTCTTGATTTTCAGTCTAACAGAAAACTTGGTCCTCATTTTGAATCAAATTTAGACTCACTGATCAAATTTTGCAAGCTTGGATAGCTAAAATCTAGTGAATTTGAAACACTGAAATAACCATTGGTCACGTACCCAATATGTGCAATGCAGTCTTGTCAAACCAAAAGCAGACAAAAAAGAATAACAGATGTGAAATAGCATCTAAAACCAGAAAAGAAGTGAGTCTTGGGAGGAAAGGGGGGCTGTAAAAGATTCGTGCACATTCAGGTAATGTTCTTTTGATCTTGTCTCACTCCTGTATTTCATGTTCATCATTAATGCCTGCACAGAGGGGAGGAAGGATGGAAAATCAGGTAATCAGTTACACATATACTTTGATCAGCATTTCCTTTTTTCTTTTTCAAGTTATTTGCCAAAGTGCTAAGAGACGAAAGGGAGGGTTTCATTTATGGCAATTGTTCAGTCAAGCATGTTCTCAGGAGTGTTTCCATAATCTCTAAATATGATCCTTTTTTTTAATGATAATTTAAAGGTACTTTGGACTTAATTTTATTTCCACATCATCAAAACTATCTTCCTGGTAGAATTCCTGTATTTCTATGTCCTTGATCTCATATGGCATTGTACACAGGTATGTAGCTAGCATGCTTTTGCAGATGAGATCCTTGAGAGATAAATAAATGGTAACTTCAAAATTTAGAATTAAACTTAGAAATCTTCCTTTTAGTGCTCAGATGTTTCCCTCAAAAGGGAAAAAAACTTCCTCTGCTCTTTCCTGTGGGTAGTAGCTGGTGCTAAACATTGTCCCTTTTGAACTGACATAGTGCCTGTCATACAGATAAGGTCCCCATTACCACTTTCAGTTTACCATCTCCCCCCTTTACCATCCAACATAAGAGAGAGGGAGAAGAGTGGAAAAATACTTCTGTAAAAGAGGCAGGGTCCTTTGTCTCAGATATTTTTCTGGGGTGAGCCATTTTTAGGCTAGTGTTAACACTGAAATAAAGATAAAAGCAAGGCATGGCTGTACCAATTCAGTTCCCAGCTGGAAGGGATGGAGAGCAATACACCACCAAATCCCACAAGCACACATAGCTCTGGTTTTGTCCTTCCCTGCAGCTCTAGTCAGGGAGCTGTTTGTTTTGTGAGATGAGACATGGGTCGTTTCCCTTTGCATTCTGGCTGTGGGCAGTGTTTGAAGCCATGGTTATGTGGTGACTATGACAATTCTCTACAGGTACTTTTACTGGAACTTTAAAAATGTGCCCTGTAATAGCCTTAGACAGCAGTCAGTACGGGTCTAGCTTTATGATCTTTTCCCTCTCCATCACAGAGTCCCAGGACACCTGTCTATAGAGCTCCCCATAGCCGCTATAACTAATGACATTGTGGAGCACAACAGAACAGCATAGGTCACTCACTACCAACAGTATGACAAGTGTTGGTTCTGTATAAATTACCTTGTAGACATGTTTTGCAGTATATTTCATTATTTTGCGTGGCAGCTTCAATAGCAGCAATATGGGACACATCTCCCATTAGTACTGTACAATATATTTTCTTGTCAGTTAATCTTGAAAGCTGGCTACCACTCCTCAAAAAGTCTGGATCTTTCATTTCCTTCTAATAAATACTTCACTCTAAATGCATTATTGCTAGAGAGATGTCAGTAATCAAATGCTTATCATCACATTTTCTTCATGGCCTATGACAAAAATATTTTCTGTAGTGGATGCAAACTGAGAAGAAGAGTGGTGATGGGAGTAAAATAAGGACAGGAGATCAACCCAAGTGTTAGATGAATAGAACTCTGAATGGCCAGGTCTCCTGCAGACAACACAAAGACTGGAAATACTAAAAACTGAAAGAAATAAACAAAATGATTTAGTGAAGAAAAAAAAACACCAAAAAAACAAAACCCCAAAGCAACCAAAAAAAACCAACAACCAAAAAAAAACCAACCAAAAAAAAAAGGCAGAAGTATATGAAGTATTAATATCTCATTGAATATTCTGTAAATTTTCTATGGTGCTTACTCTGTTCTATATACTTTATAACCCATCTCAGTGTATAAAGTGTGACTATTTAATCGTGGCATGCTTATGTACTTTAAAAGACATTACTGGAGACTTTGCTCTGGTAAAACGGTTGCTATGAATTTTCTGGTAGCATAAATGTGTAGGCCAGAGCAATGACCCACTATTTCTTTTGCATCATTATCTTTTGCATCTCCGTAGAGAGAATTAGCCATTTTAGACATATTGCATTAGTTTCAGTTTCATATTGCATGCAGGGAAAAAGCATAGCAAAAGCTTGCATTTATTCCCAGCAATTATGATGCAGCTGCCATGTGAATATAGAGAACACAATAAAGAACACAAACTCATCAAAAAGTTGAAGTAAATGAAGGACTCCTACAAAAATGAGTGTGAGGAGGTGGTGAGTGGAGGAGTGAGAAGGGACAGGTTTAGAGTGTATGTTTGCTTTTTTGCTTAAAACATTTTAAGTATCAAAGGTTTGTGAAGGCTTCTAAAGGAGCGTGTCTGCAGATCATATACTCTGAAAAGCAAGATTTCAGCAGACAAGTTCTTATTGACTGAATCCCATTTTTTTCCCACTTACCCTACAGAAAGAAGCAGGTTTATAACCTTATTAGCTACAAATTCTCAAAGGCTTCAGAAAGCCAACTTTCCCTCAGTTATGGCAAAATAACAGTAATCAACTTAATCCTTTCACAGGCCAAGCCCTGTGCCTTCCAGATCTCTAGCATATCCATCCATCTCAGTGCGTATCTCCATCCCTTCTAGTTAATGTGTGGCATGAACCCCACGTTCATAGCTGGTGTTTCAGAGGGAAGATGTTGATGTTTTGGGGTCTCAACTCTTCCACAGGCTGAGAAAAACAGTTAGCCTTTCTATGCCTCTTTGCCCCTGATGATGGAGATAAAAATCTGTCATTACTTCTATGCTTTTTCTTGGCTATAACATGTATGTATAAGTTCTTAGGCTGAGCTTCTTATAGGTGATAAAATGCAATTTGTAAATGGGACCAGTTCCTGTGTCAGAGGTCCTCAGTGAACTGTTGTACACGTATTAATGAAGAATGAAGGTAGACAGGAATATTTGGCACAGACTGGGCCTCAGAAATTCAGAAGCTGCTTGAATGGAGATATTTTAGGTACTTTTGAGCCCTTAAAACCCATGGATATATTTAAGGGAAATAAAAGTCAAAATTCAGTCTGCTCTAACGTATCTGCCTGTCTATCTATGTCTTGGTTTTAGGTTACCATCCTATCTCAATATTTGAATAGTTTTCACATAAAAAAATCAGTAACAGTGGTGTTATCTCTCCCTCTCCGTGCTGGCTTTTCTCCTTTTCACTCCTTCTCTGAGACTTGCTCCAAGTTTGTCACCTCCATGCTGTGAACAATAGCGAAGCCCATTAACTGGCTCTGCTGAAGAAGGGAAGCCATTTCACTTGACATCAAGAGGTTGTAAAAGTGCAATTTATCCTTTCTTATTGCAGCCACCACACACCCCGCTGAGATGCAGAGGTCTGACTTCACGCATGTGGTGAATTCAGTGGATGGGAAATCTATATCTGCTGGTACAGGAGGTCTGTGTCCTACCAGGGGAAACATTTTCTTGCCTCCCGGGAAAAGGAGAAACAGCCAACATCTACATCTGTCCTTGGCAATATTCAAGGCCAGGTTGGACAGGGCTTAGAGCACCCTGGTCTAGTGGAAGGTGTCCCTGCCTGTGGCAGGGAGTGTAATCTTTAACATCCGTTTCAACCCAACCATTCTGTTTCTGTGATTCTATCTGTGGCTTTGCACCTCTCTAAGGAGGGGTTTATCTGCTCAGTTTGACTTCAGCCACCTGTTGAGCTTAAGCAGTCTGAAGTTCTTGCTGGCGTTTTCTGGTTTCTGGGTTGTTTTTTTCTTTTTTCTTTTTTTCCTTTCTCTCTCTTTTTTTGACAAGCTCTCCTGACTTCTGCATTCTCTCTGTGTTCAATGAGGGCGGCTGTGTGAGTTGCTCAGAGAATAATTATTCTTGCTGAGACCTGAGGAGGCAATTTATCATGTCAGACTAAAAATGGCTACAGATAGCACAAGGAAGCCCACATAACTAAGCATTGAAAACTAAGCACAAAGTGCACTGAATTTCCCTGGTGAATATAGAATTTGGGGTCATTATCTCACATTTTTGCTGAATATAAGTGGACGTATTCTGAGCCTAACAGATGCATCATTTTGGCTTTATTTCCCTCTGCCATGAAAAGAGAATTTATGGCTATTCCACAGGGCTCACCAAACAATGCTATGAATAGTATCAAATAATCTTTTTGCTAAATTCTTCTTGCCTTAAGGGTATGGGTAATTATCTCTTCTGATACATTGCATATTGAATTGTATTTGATGTGCAGTGGTATGTTCCTGTTCTACTTACTGACATCTTGCAGAAAGATGGTGATTTTATATAAATCTGTTGTTTGTTCCAGAGGAAGTCTGCAGTATTGTCTGAGGGTCTGGACCTGGGCAAATAAACAGCTCCTGTAGTGATAGGCTCTCTCTCCCCCTTTCAGACCTGGTATAGAGCAAGAATATCCACACTATGCCTACTCCTGTGTATTTCAAGTTCCCAAATTCAGTCTGCTGAACTCAGGAGTGGGGGCGGGGGTATATTTTCTATAAACTGAGAAAGGTTTCTTTAGGGCTACATGGAAGATAGCTTTGAATTACTTCATATATCTGATAGCACTGGAAAGAAGATGAGCCAAACTCTGCCAGAAGTCTTTTCCAAAGGCATCTAATATATATACATATCTGCATGCATACGTTCATACATACATACGTATTCAGTGATGTTTGTGAGTGCATATGTATTATTATTATTCTTTTATCAAATCTTTGATGATTTTGTGGGCAGAAGCAGATTTTGAAGATATTTCTAGACAGATATTCTGGGAATAAGTTCTCCTTAGTAAGGAGGAAGGATGCATGAATAACCTTTGACATATTAAAGGTTACACTGTTGTGAAATAGACTTTTTTTTTTTTTGCTTCAATTTAATATGAAAAAGTATTTTGAAATTTAAAAATAATGCAATTGAAAAAAGTTGAGTTGTTATTTTTGGGATATTAATATGAGGCTGGATATTTAAGAGAAAGCTGCTGACACACACGAATATTCTTTCAGGTGTTCTACCAATAGAAGTCATGTCTTTCCTGTGTGTCTTTTCTCAGGTAAAGAATATTTTCATTTCTTTCACAGGAGGAAAAAATTTTCAAAGCTTTAGTGTGAAAAAATTTAAGAGCCAGATTTTGAACCAAACTTTTTTTTTGCTGTTCTCAAATGAAAACTCTATAAATACAGCTGAAAATAGAACCACTCTCAAAACATTTGTTACAATGGCCCAAAGAAGTTTAGTATGCAAAAGCTGAAATATAAAGTTGATTTAAGATTGAAAAACTAAAAATAATCTGTGCACTTGGTTTGGTCTGCATGTGAACAAGGACTGTGCCAGGAAAATATAATGACAGGAGAATTTCTCTAACCAGTCTCTATATGCATCAGTATCCACGTGGGTGAATCATTCTTTAAGGACTGGTTTGTCACATTATCTGCCCATGAAAGAGAGAGAAGACACATTATAGTTCACATGCTTCTACAGGGTATGAAGGAGAAAAGTGAAGTCTTGGCTTCATCTCTCCTCCTTGCTGCCTCATGCAGGGTGCTGACCAGGCCATCTTTAAATCACTAAACCACAGAGAAAAAAGAAGGAGTGATGCCTTAGAGACGGACCACTGAAACAGAGCTCTGTGTTTGCACCTTGGTTTAAGACTGCACCTAACCCTGCTGCAAGTTCTCCCCCAGGGTTTCTCAATCTGACCACATACAGAGCTTGCCAGGTCAAGACATTACTGTCCTAGGGAGCAGACAGGGTGACAGCATCCGTTTTGGCTTGGTTAAAGGGGAAGTACTCAAAACTCTGTAACTTTTCAAAACTTGATCTATCAGTTCATACAGTTTAACATCTGCTTTGCTCCTTGCTGAACTGAGAGGTTTCTGTGCCAGCTCGCCAGAAATCATTTATCTGGAATTCACACTGGTTTTCATTTTTGCAAGACTTTTTTACTCTGTCTCATGGTGAGTTTGAGAGATTGAGTCTTCACAAAATAAAATCAGGCCCAGTCAGACACTAACACCCTTGGTCTTTGGAAATCTAGTAAGTGTGCAAAATGTTAAATTAGATTTCCTTACAGTAGGCTTATAGGAACAGACCAAGTGATGGATTCCTCATGAAATTCCACAGCTGTGTTTACAAAATGGAAGTTGTGGTAATATTCCCTGTCAAAATGTGAAAACCTATCTGAGTCTGGGCTAATTACAGGACTAACGAAGAACTGTGCTTTCTGGAGAACTGCATACCTTGCTGAGTGGCTCCTAATTTCCAGACCACCATTTGGGGTTACCAATGGGCGAGGCAGGACAAAGCAAAAACCACCTGATTCTTGTTATTTTTCATAGCAAGCTGAAAATTTCTCCAGATCTTCTCAATTTTTGCTGAAATTATTTCTGATAAAGTAAACATTTGTCCTTTTAATACAAAAGAGTTGGGCTCTGAAGTGAAAAAACTGATAGTGTCAATCATAAGTTAAGATGCAGGGTAGTACATGTATCATACACTATCACTGCCTGCTGTGAATGAATAGTCTTTGCTCAGTGAAGCAGCAGCTCTGAAATGTGTTGAACATATGATTTAGGATTTTGTTTACAGTGAGAGACAGGAGAAGGAAATGGCAAAATATATACAACTTGATACTAACCTGGAACGAAATTCTAAGAAAATTACACTTTTAAAATAAACTAAACTACATGGCTGCAATACTTCAACACCTCTCTCTATCCTGTGACTTCTGAAATTGCCAGCATGGTGTGAAAACCATGGTGATTTCTGTGATGTTTCTACTTGGCTGTGATGCAAAAAATGCAGCTTCAATCTTTCTTTGCTGTTTTCAGACCCCCAGTTAATGGTCTGTGCTAATTCTGTTATCACCACACTTATTCAATCCTCAAGGCTGGGTTGCATTTTCAGTTTCCCCCCATAGATAGTAAATTTGTAAAATCAAGAAGTAGCCCAAATAGTGTATTAAAAACAGAGGTAAAGGACTTGTTTCTCAGTTCATGCTCCAAAGCCCTTATCAATTTCCCATATAGGAATAAAGGCTGCATAAGATATTTTATTGTAGTTGAGAATTACTTATCTTCAGAGAGAACAAACCCCTTTCCTTTCCCAGCCCAGGGAATTACAGGAATACCTTGCACAGTCATTTGCCAGCAAAATGGATTTTATGACTTACTGTATCAAAGATTTGCAGCTGGATTGCTAGAATAATACATTTTATCAAGGTGTTTTGGAAGAGTTTATGATTTTGGGACTATATTTTGACATTTTCACTTCAGTGGAGTCCAATTTTAGGATAGAAAAACAAAACTTCCTTGAAAAAATGGGCTTTTTATCCTATGCTATCATCTACATCTTTTTCACAAACAGCTTTCAGGCTCCAAAAGTTGACTTGAAACATATAGAAATTAAAGATGTTTGGAGCTCTGCTGAAATGAGAGTTCCCTGCTAAAGATCTGAATGTTCAAGGGTGCTGATCTGGCTGTTCAAGAGTTTGCTTCAGTAGCTGTGGTCAGAGACCTAACACTTCTCCTAGCACCTATGAACAAAAACCATCTAAGGCTATACTCTTCCTGAGTGCAGTCGTCTTCTGTTTGCGATTTATTCACTTTAAAGTCCTTCAAGCAGGCAACTTTGCTCTGTTTTTCACAGTCCAGGAATGACAGTCCTTAGGAACAGTGCTTGTCTCTGCCCTGTCCCCTCTCTTCTGCTACATGCCATCACTATTCACCTGTTCTAACTCAAAACCAACACATGATACAAATGCACAAGTGAAGCATGGTCATTCCTGTTTAACAGCTGGGGAAATTGGGACAGCAAAATGTTCAGGAGCATGTCTAAAACTGCAGAGGTAGTGACAGAGAAGAGAGAAGCATCAGACTCATGGACCCAAGCCTTACATACCTGAGAGACCTTCCTCAAGACTGTACAAGTCACATTTAATTTATGACCTGATTTAGGATGAAGCACTGTTGCCATCAATTACAGAGCAACATTATTGCATCTAACTTTGCCAGGACCCTCAATGAAACAAAAGTCTGGCTTGACCAAAAGGGCCCCAGTCAATTCCGCTGTGTAATTCTTAAACAGAGCTGAATTCTCCTAAACTGTATTTATGCTAAGTTTCATGTCACCTCATGACCTCAATTAAAACCTTTCAGAGGAAATCAGAAGTGCTGGCAAAGTCCTGCAAGATGAATTTCTATGGCTTTCTCATGCTAACTGCTGGTATAAACTTGGCGATTTTAAAGAAGATTTTATAGTGCTGCTGCTGCTATTTTTATTGAAGGTGTCAGAATGCCAGCAGTGATAATGTCTCAGTGAATGAGCAGCTTGCTTTCTCTGGTCCCTTTCCTAAAGCACATAA